TGAGATCATGTCTTCGTCAAAAGTCAAAGGTGCAGTTGACTTTTCGTCAAAAACCCTAATTTGTAGACCAGGTGTATTTGAATCTTGATGAACTTGTAATGAGGCAACAATACACTTGATTGTTGATTTAGGGAAGCTCTTGATCAGGAGAACTTGATATATTGATTATCAATCCAAGACTTTGACTGATCAACCAAGAATCTCCTTGATGTAAACCCTAATTCATAAACAAAACAAGGCAAGATAATATTTTGATAATTTTAGGGTTAGCTATGCATGAATGACACGCCTAAAATGTGTTGGAGCTATGCTAATGATGATGAAATCTAGGAGTAAAATTTTGGGTATGACAACTATGTTTCTTTTAAAGTGCTTTTATTTAAGTACAAGTGGATTGACAATAACACTGATAGAAAATGATAATTTTGGATTCACGCGGTTTGATACTCGTAAGGCAAATTATAACAACGAACCTTTCATCATGGCATCCTATGTAAAATAAGTTTTTTATGTCACTAATCCTTCTAACACTAGATGGTCAATTGTCCTTCAAGGTAAACATCTTCCCGATAAAGATTTTAACTATTAGACGCATTATTTAGCGACACATGTACGTCAAGCATCTAAAGATAATGATTCAGATGATGTGCATGATATTCGTCATGATCATGAAGAGGAAATATGGGAAAACTAGTAAGTAAATGTTTTATATCCCTTTGAAATTTATAATTAATCATTTTAGTCCTTTTTAATCATTGTACTATATATTTAAAGTTATAGTTTAATTGACCTAATTAGTTTCAAATGTTGTTCAAATTTTAGGTGCTTAAGGACCAGTGACAAATCCTATTGGACTGACTACACAACTTTCTATTTTGGTTATTGCTTTTGTTTCATAATCCTTTTATGTTTGTTTTGAAATTGGTTCTATAATTGGTTCTGTAATACAGGTTCCAAAAAATATGATTCTATAGTCCTGTAATTGGTTCTAAAAATATGATTTTGTAATACAGGTGAAAGCGAAAGTTCCAAAAGAAAAAATACACCCCTCGTTTTTTTTTATAAAACTGAGGTAATAACATTGAGATATTACCTCAGGTTAAATAAAACCGAGGTAAAAGCATTGGCATGCCATCCAGTTCTGAAAATGTTGAAAATTCTAATGCTAGGGATTGAACCCACGATCTTTTAATTCTAACCTCAAGTTTATATTAACCGAGGTGATAAGTGATTGCTTTTCATGTTGTCGTCCTTTACCTCGCCTATGTAGCCGAGGTTATATGCAATTCATGGCAGTCGTTATATGTGTAATTTATAGTAGTGAAAGCCTTCTGAAGGAGATAAGAAAGTTTGCAAAAAAGGACTAAGGTTGTTAAGAAGACTCTGAAGACTTCTTCTAAAGTACCCAGAACTTTCGTTGTTCCTATATCTGCTGGAACTGTTGTTCCTTCTGATACTCTTTAACTTACTGCTATAAATAATTCATCCACCTCATCATCCAGAGTTACTTATTCCTTCCCATTTGTTTTGAAACCTATTTCCTCTGAAGGTGATTCAACCTCTAAATGTGGAACTTCTAAAGGTGGAGCTTCTGAAAGTGGTTCTACTTCTAAAAGTGAACTTGCACAATCCTAGAGACCACAAAGAGTTAGACAAAAACCAAGGAGACTTACAGACTTTAAGTTTATGCAAAATACTGAGATTTACTTTGAAAGGGAAGTCATAAAGAGTGCCATGATAATGTACTTTGAACCTGTCAGTATCAATGAAGCTTTCAAGAAGAATGTGTGGTTGAACGCCATGAAGGAAGAGCTTGAGGCCATTGAAAGAAACAAGACATGTAAGTTGACTATTCTACCTCTGAACAAGAAAGCCATTAGTGTGAGATGGGTTTTCAAGGTAAATTTGAAGCCAGATGGTTTAGTTGCTAAGCATAAAGCAAGGTTAGTAGCTAGAGGATTACTACAAAATTTTAGTTTAGACTACTTTGAAGTGGTTGCACCTGTAACTAGACATGAAACCATAAGCTTGGTTATTGCTATAGCTGTAAATAGGAATTGGCCTCTGATACATTTACATGTAAAGTCAGCTTTTCCAAATGGTTTACAAGAATAATTTTGTGTGTTACAACCTCCTAGATTTGTGAAAGAGAACAAAGAAGGGATGTTGTACAAGTTGCATAAAGCCTTGTACATTCTAAAACAAGCTCTAAGGGCTTGGAATATGAAGATTGATTCGTTTTTGAAGTGTCTGGGTTTAAAAAATGTGAAATGGAATATGGTGTGTATGTGCAACATACTTCTGAAGGAAATGTGATTCTGGTGTGTTTTGATTTTAATTACGTACTTCTGACAGGGAGTTGTACTTCTAAGATAAATAAGTTCAAGAAGGTGCTGATGAATATGACTAACCCTGGAAATATGGTATATTTCTATGGATGGAGATTTTTCATTATGAGAAAGGAATTATTGTGCACCAACTAAAGTATGAACTTGAACTGTTGAAGAGATTGGAGCTTATAAATTGTAAATCAACATTCGCACATGCTAAGACAAATGATAAGTTGGGTTCTGGTGATGATGAAAAATATGTAGATGCTTCAACCTTCAAATAGTTGATTGGTTGTCTGAGATATCTGTGTAACATCAGACTTGACATATGTTATGCAGTTGTAATGGTGAATAGGTTTACGAGTAAACTAAAATTGTCACATTACCAAGCTGCAATCAGGATTCTAAAATATTTTAAAAGGGACTCTTAGGCATGGAATTTTGTTTCCATCTAGAGTGTTAGATGTTGTTGAGTTGATATTCTACTCAAACTCTAACTGGTGTGGTGACATAGTAGATAGAAGGAACATTACATGATACATATTTATGTATCTAGGAGTCCCCATTTCTTGGTGTTCCAAGAAGAAACCAGTGGTTGCATGTAATGCTGAATACATAACTGGTGTTTTATCAGCTTGTCAGGCTAATTGGCTGATAAATTTGATGTAGAAACTGAAGTTCTAGTGAAAAACCAATCAATTTGATGATTGATAACAAATTTTCCATAAGTCTTGCTAATAATCCAATGCTAAATGGAAGAACCAAGAAAGTTTATACCAAGTACCATTTTTTGCACAATCAAGTTCAAATTGGAGTACCTGAGATTGTTTATGTCAACACTTAGAAGCAACTTGTAAATGTGCTTACCAAGACAATCAAAACTGAACATTTCATCAATTTGAGAAATGTAATTGGTGTTGTTGATTTTTAAACTTGAATGTGAATTAAGGGATGGTGTTGAACATAATTCAACATTTAAGTTAGTTTACCTTTGAGTTTCATTTGCATTTAAGTTTACAGGGAATGGAATGGAGTTGTAGAGAGGAAGATTAGGACTTTGTAGGAAATGGCAAGGATCATGATCAACGAGACTAATGTGGCCAAGCATTTTTAGGAAGAGGCAGTCAACACAACATGATACATTCAGAACGAGATATCTATAAGACCTATCATGGGTAAGACTTCCTATGAGTTATGGAAGAATATGAAACCCAACATTTCTTATTTTCATCCTTTTGGATGTTCTTGTTTCATGTTGAACACTAAAGAGAATCTTGACAAGTTTGATTTCAAGGCACAGAAGTGTCTTATGTTAGAATACTCTAATCGCTCAAAAGGCTATAAAGTATATAACACTGAGACACATATTATTGAAGAATAAATCCATGTTAGATTTGATGATAAGCTTGATCTGAAAAGTCAAAGTTAATTGAGAAATTTTCAGATTTGAAGATCACTTACTCAGGTTCTGAAGGAAAGACTTCAGAAGCAAAGAAGCAAAATCCAAAGACTCGGAAGCTCCTCATACAGAAGCTATTAAAGCTTTGACTTTGTTAAGAAGGCAAAGAAAAAGATCTTCACATTCTGCAAAACTGATTCCGGGAGACAAGTCTGAACATGTCAGAACCAGATCCTGTTTCAAGTCCTCTTAAGAAACCCTTCTGGGTTTAGTGTCTTTGATAGAGTCTACATCAATTGATGAAGCATTCTAAGACATATAATAGATTTTGGCTATGCAAGGGGAACTCAATCAATTCTCTAGAAATGACATATGATAACTGGTGCCAAGACTCAAAAGAGGTCATGTTATGGGAACTAAGCGTGTCTTCAGAAACAAGCTGAACGAACAAGGAAAGGTAGTAAGAAACAAGGCTCGACTGGTTATACAAGGTTATAATCAGAAAGAATAGATTGACTATACAAAAAATTGTGCACCATTTGCCAGGTTAGAATCTATTCGTCTCTTAATTTCTTTTGCTATTGATCATAACATCATCATATATGATATGAATGTTAAGAGTACATTTATGAATGATTACATTACTTAAGAAGTGTATGTACACTAACCCCTTAATTTTAAAGATCCTAAAAATTCAAATTTTATTTTCAAGCTTAAGAAATCATTGTGTAGTCCGAAGCAAACTCCTACAACGTCGTATGAAAAACTAAACAATTTTCTTCTTAAAAATAATTTTACTATAAAAAAAGTTGATACAACACTGTTATGTAAGTCATTCAAAAATGACATTCTTAAAACATAAGTCATTATAGCCTCAACATAGGTGAAAAGAGTACAAGTTAATAATTTTTAAAACATAAATAAACGTGGTCCTTATGGTAGTTGAATTCTTCATTAATAAAATGCAATTAAGAAAACATATACTAGCTAAGCAATCATTCTAATTGGTTGTTTTAATAAAACTGAACAGCACATTAACGTACACAACAGAAACATCTTAAGACCGACTCATTCATATGATATGAATTATGATACTACAAGGTCGACGTAACTGTTTCTCAAGCTCCACCTGTCCACGTTATACATGGGCCCACGCGCTCCCACAATTTTATAAATACTCCCACAAACTTCTACCATCAATCCAACAAGATACACAATTTGCATAATATAACTTCTTAATTCATAAATTTTCACTGTTTTTTCATCTTCTATTACTTAAAAAAATTCCACAGTTTTACAATGGCATCATCTTCTGCAATGAAATTCTTCTCCTTCCTTTTTGTCTTTGTCTTTGCCGCCACCGTAGCCTCAGCCCAAGATCTCAGTCCCTCGTTGTCTCCAGCTCCAGGTCCTGATGCCGGAGCTGCTGGATCTGTTACAAATTCAGTTGCTATGATCGGAGCCTCGATCGTCCTGTCAATGCTCGCCATCTTCAAACATTGAGAAATAGAACATAGCTCGCTTATTGTTATTTTATCGTGTAGAGCTTGTTATTATTACAAGTTGATCTATGTATATTTGAGATCGTGAGAAATTTTTATAGTGTTTATTTTTTTTATATTTCATTATTTATTGTAGGTGTTAAGGAAAATAAAGAGTGGTTTTATCATTTTAATATCCTTGGTCACTTTTCTTTTATTAATATTTATTGTTTCGTGTAGTGATTTATTTTTACTTTTATTTATTATTATTGTTAATATTATAATTATATTGTACTTATATTCATTTTTGTGTTTAATATTTTCTTTTGAGGCATGACTTTGATATTTTATATCAAAAGAAAGAAAAATAATGATTTTATTTTATTTTTTAATAATATTTCTTATTTCATTTTATATCCAAAAAAAAATAAAGAATAATAATTTTATTTCATTAATCCAAAAATGAATAATTTTATTATAATATTAAAAATGAATTTCTTTACAATATCAAAATAAATAAATAAATAAATTTATTTACAAAAAAAAATAATAAATTATATTTTTTTCTAAAAATCTAATTATCCCAAATCAACAGCAAATAGACAAATTTTAAATGGTTAGGAAAGGGACTCCGACACTCTCAGAAATATTCATCATCGGGTGTGTCAGGAGGATAACGGATTGCTCCGTCACCAACTCCCGACTCAATTCTGACTTCGGCTAAAATCGGCAGATTCTGTTTTTATTTTCGAGGCATCCAAGAGAGAGAAAGAGAGAGAAAAATTGCTTTTCCGAAAAAGTGATTGTTAAAAAGTTGCTTTCAGAAAAAGTGATTATCAAAAAAGTGTTTTTTGAAAAAACGCTTATTCAAAAGTGATTTTCGCCAAACGCAGCCTTAACAACATTTCCAGAATTTCTGAAATTCCAACGGATTAAACAAGCCAACGGTAACAAAAACGCAAGCCAGCCACCATGTCAGAAACAACCTTCCTCCAATCCAAGTCAAACAGAAACAAATCAGAAACTGTAAAATGCTTGAAAAAACTCTAACAAACCGTCAAATTCGCAAGCAAAAACGCCACAAAACCGCAGCATTAGGGAACACCCAAGCCCAAAAGAAATCACAATATAAAACTTAACATTATCAGTTCATAAAAGGGGGGAGATTTTTCATCATTTAGGGAGTTCATCGGCAAACATAGAGGAAAAAATCTCAGAGAGCGGCCGTCAAAATTCGGAGGTTCAGAGGAGCTTTGAAGCTCATCATCATCACCTCGGAGACATCAGAAAGAAGAAGAGGGGGGGTTCCATAAAACATAAAATGAGGAAGGTATTTGACCGTCAAACTCATCATCATCGATCGATCATCATCGGACGGCGACGGAAAACCAGTCGGAACAACAAGAACCGTCTGCGAATTGGAAGGTCCCTCACCCTCAAACTTCACGCGAACTCAGACGTGAAGGGGTTCACCGTCATCATCGTTCAACACGTCAAAACAACGACAAATCGCTTCAAACCCCAGAGGAAAACGGTGAGCAATTCGTTTTCTTTCACGTTTGTTTTGATCTTTTTCAGGGACGAGCATGCAAGAAGAAAAGGAAACAAAAAGTTTCGGAAGTGGTAACAATGGCCGCCGCGGTGGACAACACGAAGAAGAAAGGGTTTTCAAACCCTAGAAGCACAATAAGGAGGACAAATGTCTCTCCCGTCCTTTTATTTCTGTTTCATTTTCCCTTGTTTTTTATTTTTTTTTTATTCTTTATTTTATCTTTGTTTACTTTATTCTCATTTTCTGTAACTAATTTCTTTAATTATTTCTACTAACTAATAATTAGGCGTTTCTAATAATTTTAGATAGATAATATGGTAATAACTTTTAATTAATTCTGTGCATAATTTCTAACTAATAATGTTTTAATAAGTTGTAATTAGAAATGTTTTAAAATTTAGAAATGATTTTAATAACTTCTAGTTTTAGTAAATTTTTTTTTTAATAATTAATAATTTATTTTAAGTATCTCCTAATAAAAAAATATTTTGGTAACTTCTAATTAACAAATTTTTCTTTATAATGTATAGTTGGTCTTATATAACTTGTAATTAATTTCTTTTTGATAACTTCAAATTCATTCCTTTGTCAAAATTAAGTGAGCGACTTACAATAAAAATTCATTTTGGTCAAAATCGAAATAAGTCATTCTTGTTTAGATAAAATATAAAAAAAATTAAAGAACGCCTAGTCTGACCGTTTCAATTTTTGTCTGACCACCATTTGATCCACATTCATTTCTGCTTACTAATTCCTTAGTCTTTGTATTTCATTTTTTCGGTTGTAATCATGCGAGGCTATCGTCGCTTTATTTCGTTTTTTTGTTTGCACGGTTGTAACTTTATGCGAGTATATCGTCGCCGTGCATGCCCTTTAATGTTTTTGCACTTTTCCATATTTTCATATTGCCGTTTAATTATTTTGCATTATTTATCGTTAAGACCTCCGAAGGATTAGGTCTAACAGTTTGATCGCCGAGTCAATAGTCCTCTCCTTTGAACATTTCAAAATATTAATTGCCTAGGTGTCCCGCCGTGGACGAAAATACCCTTTACCCTAGCATTTGGTCAAGGAGTCGCCGTACTCCGTTTTAGGGTTTCCAGCCGTTGAATACTTAGTTTAACCCTAATTTCAATTTAACTATTTTCAATGTAGAAATAGGAGTTGTCGAACTCCACGTAAGCGCTTTCCTTGGGAAACGCTTACTCCCCATCGAAACCTTGACCACAGTCAAGATGTTTCTAACCTCCCTTTTGAGGGGAACTACAATTACTCTGATTCCATCCCCTACCCAAAATACGTAGGCACAAGATGCGAATCTTGCCGAGTAAACTTAGGACTAACCCTTAGGTCTTTTAGTCACTCTTAACCCTTAGCACATATACCCTCAAGCAAATAATAAAGCAAAATAGTAAAAATAAACAAAAGGTTCCTGTAGAGTACTACAAAAGTTTAGGGTGCTAATACCTTCCCTAAGCTTAACCAACCCCTTACCTAGAGCTCTCCCCGCATTGTTTACGATGCAAAAATTAGGTTTTCCTTCTTTTGACCTTTTCCTTCGGATAAATCAAAGTCGGTTGGGAATTAAAAATTTGCGATTCAAATTAATTAATAATTTGATATCCTATTCTCACTGCAATACATGTCCTTTTCGAAAAGGTTTTAAAGGGAAAAGTCCGAAGGCAAAAAGATTTGAACTTGATGAGGTGTTTTATTAATTAAGATTTGAAAAGATTAAAGATACGTATTGTACTAAAGTCTATTATGACAATATGAGTGAACACGTCGTACAAATGAACCAAACTTCTCACATACCCTAAGAAGAGGTAAGAAAAACTCCCGCTTATTTTTTTCTATGTACTTAAGGTTCATAATGCATAACACGTATTGTATTTATTAAGTATTTTTATATTTTTATTAAGAATTTTTTTTTTTATTTTAGGAAAGAAAAAGGAAGAGTCAAACTTAAGACTATCATTCAGTAAGATATTATTAGCTTGTCTACCTATGCTTCAGCATCTTATTGCATGACTGAGAGATTCTCTAGAATGTTTTAAATTCTATTTTTTGTTTCTGATTCTTGAATTATCACAATGGATAGGAGCATGTTAAAGAAGCTGCAAAAATTCCTAAAGGTAATGCTGCGAACCATCAGAATTATTCCTATGAGGTTTTTGGTCCCTTTCAAAACATTTGAAGCCACCTTGAGAGTCTGGTTAGCTCTTATCTTTTTTATTATTGTTTCTAATTGATTGTCTTCCTGTTCAAGAACTGCATTGCATGCTAATAGACCAAAATCAAAAGAGTAAATATCCATAATATTGCATAGTAATTAGGTATGTAACTCTGTTTTAATATTTTATCAAATGTAGCTTTAACATTATTCACTTAGTTTCAAATATATCTCCAACTTTATAAACTTAATGTTACTGGGAAATCATTTTAGTCACTTAGAAAACACTTTCAACTCCATCATTAATGCCTAAGATCTCATCCATCCTTAATCTTATTTGCTTTATGTTACTGCTTTGTTCTATTATAAATGGCTTATAATAAACACTGCCAAAAATCGAATCAGTTTTCAAAACACTGCCAAAAATCGAATCAGTTTTCAAAACACTGCCAAAAATCATGGCTTATAATAAACAGAAAATTGAATATAGTAATAATCATAAGTATATAAATAATTAAAAATGAAGAAAACTGAACAAAAATATTACAATGATAAAATCGTTTTATTTTTCTTCAATATCTACGATAAATAATGAAATACTAAAAATAATCAATTAATCATCACTCCACGGTAAAACTGTTGGTGCAAAGATAGAATAAATGATGAAATAGGAAATATTCTATTAAGAGAATGACGGCTACAAAACATGATAAAAGTTACAATGATTGTCACCCTATTTATAGGCTAAAACTAGGGTTACTAAAATAAGATAAAATACTAAAATACCCTCTAACAAACTTAGGGGCCAAGAAAATAGTACAACTAAATAAATATGAATTATTAATAATATTCTAATACCATCCCTTAATTCATATTCCATCAAAACTTGTGACACCAATTCCATCCCTTAATCTGAGAAATTGATCAGTTTTGATAGCTTTCGTCAGAACATCTGCCAACTGCTTCTGAGTGCTGCAGTGTACAACTTCTAACACTCCACTCTGAACTTGATGTCTCAGAAAATGATACTTGGTCTCAATATGCTTGCTTCTCCCATGCAGCACTGGGTTTCTGGCAAGGTTGATTGCAGACTTGTTGTCAATCATCAACTTCAGAGGTTTGTCTACCTTAATCTTCAGATCCTGCAACAGATTCAGAATCCACACAGCTTGGCATGCAGTAACAGCACCTGCAATGTATTCAGCTTCACAGGTTGACAACGCCACAACAGGTTGCTTCTTGGAACACCAAGAAATGGGACCTCCCAGAAATTTGAACAAGTAC